GAGGCTGAGGCTGAGGCTGAGGCAGGCTGAGGCTGAGGCAGGCTGAGGCTGAGGCTGACGCAGGCTGAGGCCGAGGCAGGCTGAGGCTGAGGCTGAGGCAGGCTGAGGCTGAGGCCGAGGCAGGCTGAGGCTGAGGCTGAGGCAAGCCGAGGCAGGCTGAGGCTGAGGCTGAAACTGAGGCAGGCTGAGGCATCCGTAGGAATCCATAGGAATCCTTAGGGATCCCCAGGAATCCTTAGGAATCCGTAGGCATCCTTAGGAATCCGTAGGCATAGTTAAGCATCTTCAGGAATCCTTAGGAATCCTTAGGATTCCCTCGGAATCCTTCGGATTCCGCTGGAATCCCCAGGACACATCGCTGTTAGGTTGCTTTGCCGGGATAATCCATAGGCGAAGAGCTGAGAGCCTCGCTGGAGGCCTCACTGGGTGTCTCCCAGGGTTACTTAAGAGCATCCGTGGGCAGTGCTGGGAGTCTTTTCGGCACCATTGTGGCCCATTCGAATTGTGTCGGGGGCTACGGAGCTCCTGGAAGCGTGTTCTGCAAACCCGAGGGCCTGGACGTTGCGTCGTAGGGCCCGGCAAGTGCGCCAGGGGGCCCTCCCCTCAAACGTGATTTTGGACCCCGAGGATGGGGAAAGGAGGGGAGACAGTCGAATGCCTCGTGCGCCTCCCCCCCAGGCAAGCGGGGTTTGGATACTCGGGCCCGCGAGTGCACGCATCGTTGTGCAATCTTACAGGTATGGCTTGCCGGCAGCCGCCTGGCCACGCACTGCCAGGTCGCAGGCTGGAGTTATCTATGCGTTTCATGCCTGCCAGGCGCCAACAGCGCGCGATCCTGGCGCAGTACAGTGCATGTGCTTGCAGACTGCCATGGCCTTCGGCCATGCGCTACAGAGGCAGGACATTCAGAAGGTAAGTGAATCCACCCGACGGGAAGAGGGGGGCGAGAAGCGGCGGGGGAGGGGGGGGGAATGGGCCTCCAGGGGTCTTTCAGGGATTGGTCTCCGTGACCTTCAGAGTCCCCCATCGGGGGCCTGCAGGGCCCTCCTGTGGGGACGTCGCGTGCCTCTGGGCAGCTCCTGTGGGTCCTCTCGCGGCGAGATTACCCGCGAACCAAGTGTTCGGCGAACTTATCGGAGACACTAACGGCGAACCACCGCCGCCCCCTGCCTTCTGCAAGCGCCTATGCGGCCAAACGCTGTGCCAACGTCTGGCCAAGCTGTACGTTCCCCCAAGTGTCGTGGGACCCTTCTTGGAGTTTCCCGGGCCGTCTTGGGGTCTTGGGTTGTGGGAAGCCCACGGGGGCGAGAACGCTCAAATCCTTCGAACACTGGAGGCGCATCAATTGGCTTGGCTTGTTCGGGCCCTCCTGCAATACCACTTGGAGCTATTTCGTCTTGGGGTCAACTTGGGCCGTCTCGGAGGCATCTTTGGGCCATGTTGGCCTCTCTTTGGGCCATCTTGGCCGTCTTGCAGGCGTCGTGGGATCGTCTTCGATGTCATATTCGGGGCCATTTTGGGCGTCTTGGAAGTGGAAGGAAGCTCCTTAGTAGTTCTTTCGGAGTGGCCCCTGGGATCGACCGAAGGCCACTGTTAGAAGGGCCAGAACGCGTTCGGTTCGCCAAGCGCATCTAGCCAAACAGGAGGAGGCGGCGCATGGAAGACGCCTACGGCGAATCAGCGCCGCACCCTGCCTTTCTGGGAAGGCCGATGTGGCCAAACGCTTGGGGCCAAAGCTTGGCCAAACCATTGGAACATGTGTGTCCCCCAGCCGTGGTGGACTTCCCTTGAGAACACGTGGGGAAGGAAGAGAGAACAGGATATTGAGAGGGAGGAATAGGAGGAGAAGGAGGATGATGATGATGATGAGGAGGAGGAGGAGGAGGACGAGGAGGAGAAGGCGGAGGCCTCTTGAGACTGTCTGGGTGGTCCTCCGTGTGGTCGACGTTTTTCCCGCGTAGCCCCGGCGGGTCTAGCCAGAGGCCATGTGGAACCTTTTGGGAGGGTTCAAATGGACGTCGTTCGGGCAACATGAGGCCGCGGATCGAAGATGCTTGCGGCGAATCACCGCCGCCCCCTGCCTTTTTAAAAATCGCCTCTGTGGCCAAACGCTCGGGGCCAAAAATTGGACAGACTATCGGACCAGGTGCTCCCCGAGCCGCTGTGGAAGCCCTTCGGGGAACGCGCGGGCGATGAAGGAGAGGATGAAGAAGGAGCATGAGGGGAAAGGAGGATGAGGAGAAGCATGAGGTCTCCTCTTGGGAGCTTCTTGGGTCGTTCTCGGGCCTTCGGGGAGCTTCCCGAGGGCCTCTTGGAGGCCTTTTGGGGGCTTCCTTTGGCCTCCTGGGAGCCTTTGGGGGCATCTTGGAAGCTTTTTTGGCCGTCTTACGGCGTTCCTGGCCCGTTTGACGCTGTCGGGTGTCGTCTTGGAAGCTTCTCTGGCTCTCTTGGGGCCCTCTTGGGGCGATCCAGGGCCGTCTTGACGGCCATCTTGGGCGTCTTTAACGCCTCGTGGGCTGTCTTGGGGTCCGTTTGGGGCCGACTTGGGGGCCTGTTGGGTCGTCCTGGGGCCATCTTGGAGGCCTTTGGGGCGATGTTGGGGCGATCTTTGGGGCCTCTTGGGCAGTCTCGGGCCGTCGGAATACCACATGCATTTGGCGATTTTTGGGCAATCTTGAGGGCCCCTTGGGCCGTTTTGGGCTATCGGAAGGCCGCTTCGAAGCAATTGCGAGCATCTTCCCAAACCCATGGGAACTCAATGGTTGTGGCCTCGTCGGGCCTTCGAGGAGGCCCTTTTGGCGGCTTGTTGGGCCGTCTTGGAGGCCTCTTGGGACTCTCGGGTCGTCTTTGGCCATCTTGGAGTCATGTTGGGCCGTCTTGGCTGCACGTTGGACTGCCTTGGAACATGTTTGGACAATCTTGGGTACTTTTTGGGCCATCTTGGCCGTCATGGTGGTGTCTTGGATGTATTCTGGAGGCTATCTTGAGCCATCTCGGCGGTCTTGGAGGCGGTACAGGTTCGGCTGCTTTCTGGGTGGTTGGCGCAGTGGACCGAATCCCCAGAGGAAGTTAAACAACGAACCAACAACCATCATACAACTAGCACGCCAGGCACCCGTTTGATACATCAGCAGGGGGCGGCGGATCTATTGCTTGGGTCGTGCACAGGGTGCCTCTTGGGTGCCTCTTGGGGCCTCTCTGATGCTCCTCTGGGGTCTATTGGGGGCCTCTTGGCGACGTCTTGGGGATCTTTTGGAGGTCTCTTAAGGGCCTCTCTGGGGTCCATTGGGGCCTCTTGTCGATATCTTGGCGGCCTCTTAGAGGTCTCTTGGGGCCTCTCGAGGGGCCTCTTGGAGGCCTGGGTGGCTCTCGGGAGCCTGCTGGCAGACACGCCAATTCATGTTTTCCTTCTTGGGCCCCTCTTGGGGCATCTTGGGCCCCTGTGAGGGCTTTCGTGGGGCTGTCGTGGGGTGCTTTTGGGCCACCTTAAGCGCTTAAGATCGGCACGGCGAGTATGCGACAACCATTATCACACACGGTCCATCTACACAGACTTACAGTTATTCCCATGCACATGCAACACTGTGGGCACACATACCGACATACACATACGCATACATGTATGTATCGGTTGCGTGCGTGCATATTGGTGTAGGCATGCGTGTAGACACGTGTGCGCATGCCTGCATGCCTGTAGATACACTCATCTGCGTGTACACATACCTACTTGTATGGCATATAGGGCGTTTCAATTTTTTTAGCCGCTCGGGTAAGCCCTCGCGGCCTCCACGCTGTCCAACGCCCCCCAAAGAGCCCCAGGACGATCCCCTGGGGCCAGCTTGGAGCGTGCTGGACCTGTGAGTGCCGAGCCACGCTCCCGAGGGCTCTGGACAGACAGCGCGGGGAAAACCAAGAACGCCTCACAGTGCCCCACGAGGAGTATGTCTAACATTCAATGCGCACGACTCGAAGGGACCTGACGGCACTCCACTCAGTGTCAACGGCACGGCGGCGGATACATGGTTTAAGTGTTATTTGGTGTTTGGCTATTTGTGTTGTTTCGTCGGACGATTTCCCCAGGATGCCAACATAATTTGTGATCCCCTAGTGTTTTTTCTTTTCACAGGGGTCCTTGGATCAACATCGTTTTCGAATCGCTCTCGGAGGCCCTCGAGACGGCCCAACGTCACAACAGGTTTCCAAGGATACCCCAAATACCTCCCCTCGTGGCCCAAGATCAGCCCATTCGGCGGTGCACTTGTCGGCAAGGCGTCTGCTGTAGTGTTCTCCACAGCTAAGGTATCAGGCGTGCGTCTTACTCACAGGTGATGTCCTAAATTCGGAGTAAGGAAGGACAGGATGTCGGCTCGTGGCTCCGCCGCAATTGATTGGTGGAGTCTCCGTGGAACCTCCTTCGTTCGGCGGACAGTGCAGGCCAAGCGCCCACGGCTCGACGCCGACAGAAAAGGGAAACCAAAGGAGGGGCGAACCACAGGGGGCCATAGGAGGCGTAATCACCCACGACTCGACCTTTGGAATCAGGGCCAGTGGGGCAGGATGCCACAGGAAATCCTCGGGGAGGCCGTCGGAAGCCAGACTATCCCTTCCACCCCCCGTCCTCCACCTCATCCTTCCCGCTCCTTGTCTCCTTGCCCTCCTCGTCCTCCGCACTCCTCCTTCCTCGTCTTCCTCCAGCCTGAAATCGGCCTCGCGACCCTTGCTGAGGCGCGTCCTGGCTGGATTCTGTTCGAGGCTAACCCAGAAGTGGCGACGAACCCCTCCCCCAGAGGCCCCACTGTGCAGCAAACATCAGCAAGCGGAAGAGGACTATATCTAGCTTTCCCAGGCTCGCGCTGGCAAGGACGTGGCGGTACCGTAATCCGTTGTGGCTGAGTCGACTCGATTCACTTTGCCCGCACATCACGCACACCCTGTGTGCTCTTAGCCGTCAAGTTGTTCTCTTGCAGGCGCTGATGGGGTGCCCCCTGCTGCTTGTAGGCATGGCGGCTGTGGCGGCGGGGCAGCCGCCTCAGCTCCGCGGCGCCGTGACGGTGAAGGAGGGATGGGAGCCATGCCCTGGCCAGCCGGGGTGGGCCACAACCGCCTGCTCGGCCGGACAGACCTGCCCTGGCGGAAACACGTGCGCCAACCCGCCTCAGTGTGGCTGCTTCCGGACCTGCGCTGCGGGGCAGTCGTGCCCGCCGGGACAGTATTGCGACGGCGCCGGTGTTTGCACCCCTGGGGCCGCCCTGCGATCGAACCAGTCTTCGGAGGGGAGTGGCGCCAGCATCGTGACGGTGAAGGAGGGGTGGGAGCCATGCCCTGGCCAGCCGGGGTGGGCCACCACCGCCTGCTCGGCCGGACAGACCTGCCCTGGCGGGAACATGTGCGCGAACCCGCCTCAGTGTGGCTGCTTCCGGACCTGCGCTGCGGGGCAGTCCTGCCCGCCGGGACAGTACTGCGACGGCGCCAGTGTTTGCACGCCTGGGGCCGCCCTGCGATCGAACCAGTCTTCGGAGGGGAGTGGCGCCAGCATCGTGACGGTGAAGGAGGGGTGGGAGCCATGCCCTGGCCAGCCGGGGTGGGCCACCACCGCCTGCTCGGCCGGACAGACCTGCCCTGGCGGGAACATGTGCGCGAACCCGCCTCAGTGTGGCTGCTTCCGGACCTGCGCTGCGGGGCAGTCCTGCCCGCCGGGACAGTACTGCGACGGCGCCAGTGTTTGCACGCCTGGGGCCGCCCTGCGATCGAACCAGTCTTCGGAGGGGAGTGGCGCCAACATCGTGACGGTGAAGGAGGGGTGGGAGCCATGCCCTGGCCAGCCGGGGTGGGCCACCACCGCCTGCTCGGCCGGACAGACTTGCCCTGGCGGGAACATGTGCACCAACCCGCCTCAGTGTGGCTGCTTCCGGACCTGCGCTGCGGGGCAGTCCTGCCCGCCGGGGCAGTACTGCGACGGCGCTGGTGTTTGCACACCTGGGGCCGCCCTGCGATCGAACCGCTCTTTGGCGGAGGCTGCGGGCGTTGGCCTTCCGAACTCCAGCGGGGCGCCATTCCTGGGCGAGGCGCTGGGGGGGCAGTGCGCCTGGACGGAGCGCAAGAACAGCGGCGGCCGTAACCTGATGCAGGCCCCCTGGTCGCAGGACCCAGACGCGTGCTGTGCCCGCTGCAACGAGCACTCGGATTGTGTGGCGTGGACATTTATCAAGGGGAGCCACGAGTGCTGGCTGAAGAGCTACGTGCCGCCCAGTGACCAATGGCGCTGGGACGATTCGGCAGTCAGCAGCCTCGTGCGTGGCCCAGACACCAAGTGCAGTTGGGAGGACGACGAGAACAGCGGCGGGGACAACATGATGCAGGCCCCTTGGTCCCAGGACCCTCAGGCGTGCTGCAACCACTGCGGCGCGCATTCGGGATGCGTGGCGTGGACTTTTATCAAAGGCAGCCACGAGTGCTGGCTGAAGAGCTACGTGCCGTCCAGGGACCAATGGCGCTGGGATGGCTCGGCAATCAGCGGCAAGCTGGGTGGGCGGTGAGCTTCTGCACGATGACCTCGTCATCGCAGGTTGCTGGGCCATCCCATGGTCTCATGAGGCCGTTCTTCAAATGGCTTGCGCCATTCCGCCGACCTCTGAATGACAATGTGGTAGGAGGATGATGCGGAGGAGGAGGATGATAAGGAAGAGACGGGAGATGGGCAAGAGGTGTGTTGTGGTCGGGGGAGTTGTGGAGAGTGGATATGAGATGACAGGTGCAGCCGTTTTCTCCTCGTCCTTCGTCCTTTCTCCTGGTGGTTTCTTGAAGGCTTCTTCGGGTGTTGCTCTTGGGGACCTCTTGGGTGCCTGTTGGTGGCCCCTTGGGGGCCTGATGGGGCCCGTCGCGGGGGAAGCGGGGGGTCTCGGGGCCGTCTTGGGCGCGATGGTTCCGGAGAGCTCTAATTGTCAAAGGTGGCGGGAATGGGGGTTGAAGTGACGATCCAGTCCAATTCGGTATGCAGCTTGGTTCAGCTCCTCCTTGTTCGCAGCTTCGTTTTCATTTCCTTCTTCCTACCTCCGCCTCCCCCTCTTGCCTCTGAGTTTCACTCCTACCTCCTTTTTCCTACTCCACCTCGTCCCTCCTCTCCCCTCTGGAAAGCGTCGTTGAGGTTGTTCAAAGGCTTCTTTGCGACTTCTTGGGGCCCCGGGGCCCCCTTGCTTTCTCTTGCTGGGGCCGTTCGGGGGCGCGCTAACGGCCCGCGGGGGATGTCGTGGCCATCTTGGGCGCGATGGTGCCAGTGAGCTCTCCAAAAGAGGCTCGGTTGAAGCATCTTGGGGACATTTGGGCAGGTTCTTCGGGCCGTCTTGGAACCTTCAGGGGCCGTCCACGTGGGCTCTGGGGCGTCTTGGGCTGTCTTGGGGGGCCTCCTGGCCCTCGGAAGCTTTCCGGTGTCGAGCTGAAGCCTACAAGCCCTGGGCGGGGAAGCATGGAATTTTCCTTAACAGCGAAGATTGATAGGTTTCCAGTGGGGTCAAAAGAGAGCATCTTGACGCCCCAGGGGGGTCTGGGCATGATCCGGACAAAACCGGACAAAAGGGTCAGTTTCAGGAGTCTTTAGGAATTTCCAGGAATTCTTAGGAATCTTTAGGAAGCCATTCCCAGAACACCATTCCCAGGCCACATTTTGAATGCCTGGAACCAACTGTAGGCCACTTCGTGTTCTTCGTGTTCCCAGAACACCATTCCCAGGCCACTTTTTGAATGCCCGGAACCAACTGAAGGCCACTTCGTGTTCTTCGTGTTCCCAGAACACCATACCCAGGCCACATTTTGAATGCCCGGAGCCAACTGTAGGCCACTTCGTGTTCTTCGTGTTCCCAGAACACCATTCCCAGGCCACTTTTTGAATGCCCAGAGCCAACTGAAGGCCACTTCGTGTTCTTCGTGTTCCCAGAACACAAGTCCTGTACAATATTTTGATTGCCTGGAGCCAACTGTGGGCCACTTCGTGATCTTCGTGTTCCCAGAACACCAGTCCTGTGCTATATTTTGAATGCCCGAGTTGAGGCAGGCTGAGGCCGAGGCAGGCTGAGGCCGAGGCAGGCTGAGGCTGAGGCTGAGACACGCCGAGGCAGGCTGAGGCCGAGGCTGAGGCTGATGCAGGCTGAGGCTGAGAGGCTGACGCTGAGGCTGAGGCAAGCTGAGGCTGAGGGTGAGGCCGAGGCAGGCTGAGGCTGAGGCTGAGGCAAGCCGAGGCAGGCTGAGGCTGAGGCAGGCTGAGGCTGAGGCTGAGGCTGTGGCTGAGGCTGAGGCTGAGGCTAGCTGCGGCTGAGGCAGGCTGAGGCTGAGGCTGATGCAGGCTGAGGCTGAGGCAGGCTGAGGCTGAGGTTGAGGCAGGCTGAGGCTGAGGGTGAGGCCGAGGCAGGCTGAGGCTGAGGCCGAGGCAAGTCGAGGCAGGCTGAGGCTGAGGCTGAGGCTGAGGCTGATGCTGAGGCAGGCTGAGGCTGAGACAGGCTGAGGCTGGGGCTGAGGCAGGCTCAGGCCGAGACAGGCTGAGGCTGAGACTGAGGCTGAGGCTGAGGATGAGGCCGAGGCAGGCCGAAGCTGAGACAAGGTGAGGCTGAATGGGGGGGGGGAAGGGGTGGGGGGGGGGGAGGAGGGGAGGCTGAGGCAGGCTGAGGCCGAGGCAGGCTGAGGCCGAGGCAGGCTGAGGCTGAGGCTGAGGCAAGCCGAGGCAGGCTGAGGCTGAGGCTGAGGCTGAGGCTGAGGCTGGCTGAGGCTGAGGCAGGCTGAGGCTGAGGCTGACGCAGGCTCAGGCCGAGACAGGCTGGGGCTGAGACTGAGGCAGGCTGAGGCTGAGGCTGAGGCCGAGGCAGGCTGAGTTTGAGGCTGAGGCAAGCCGAGGCAGGCTGAGGCTGAGGCTGAAACTGAGGCAGGCTGAGGCATCCGTAGGAATCCATAGGAATCCTTAGGGATCCCCAGGAATCCTTAGGAATCCGTAGGCATCCTTAGGAATCCGTAGGCATAGTTAAGCATCTTCAGGAATCCTTAGGAATCCTTAGGATTCCCTCGGAATCCTTCGGAAGCCGTTGGAATCCCCAGGACACATCGCTGTTAGGTTGCTTTGCCGGGATAATCCATAGGCGAAGAGCTGAGAGCCTCGCTGGAGGCCTCACTGGGTGTCTCCCAGGGTTACTTAGAGCATCCGTGGGCAGTGCTGGGAGTCTTTCGGCATCATTGTGGCCCATTCGAATTGTGTCGGGGGCTACGGAGCTCCTGGAAGCGTGTTCTGCAAACCCGAGGGCCTGGACGTTGCGTCGTAGGGCCCGGCAAATGCGCCAGGGGACCCTCCCCTCAAACGTGACTTTGGACCCCGAGGATGGGGAAAGGAGGGGGGACAGTCGAATGCCTCGTGCGCCTCCCCCCAGGCAAGCGGGGCTTGGATATTCGGGCCCGCGAGTGCACGCATCGTTGTGCAATCTTACAGGTATGGCTTGCCGGCAGCCGCCTGGCCGCGCACTGCCAGGTCGCAGGCTGGAGCTATCTATGCGTTTCATTCCTGCCAGGCGCCAACAGCGCGCGATCCTGGCGCAGTACAGTGCATGTGTTTGCAGACTGCCATGGCCTTCGGCCGTGCGCTACAGAGGCAGGACATTCAGAAGGTAAGTGAATCCACCCGACGGGAAGAGGGGGGCGAGAAGCGGCGGGGGAGGGGGGGGGAATGGGCCTCCAGGAGTCTTTCAGGGATTGGTCTCCGTGACCTTCAGAGTCTCCCGTCCCATCGGGGGCCTGCAGGGCCCTCCTTGTGGGGACGTCGCGGGCCTCTGGGCAGCTCCTGTGGGTCCTCTCGCGGCGAGGTTACCCGCTAACGGCGAACCACCGCCGCCCCCTGCCTTCTGCAAGCGCCTATGTGGCCAAACGTTGTGCCAACGTCTGGCCAAGCTGTACGTTCCCCCAAGTGTCGTGGGACCCTTCTTGGAGTTTTCCGGACCTTCTTGGGGTCTTGGGTGGTTGGAAGCCCAGGGGGGCGAGAACGCCCAAATCCTTCGAACACTGGAGGCGCATCAATTGGCTTGGCTTGTTCGGGCCCTCCTGCTAGACCACTTGGAGCCATTTCGTCTTGGGGTCAACTTGGGCCGTCTCGGAGGCATCTTTGGGCCATGTTGGCTTCTCTTGGGCCATCTTGGCCGTCTTGCGGGCGTCGTGGGATCGTCTTGGATGCCATCTTCGGGGCTATTTTGGGCGTCTTGGAAGCAGAAGGAAGCTCCTTAGTAGTTCTTTCGGAGTGGCCCCTGGGATCGACCGAAAGGCCACTGTTGGAAGGGTCAAAACGCGTTCGAAAGTCTGGCTCGCCAAGCGCATCTAGCCAAACAGGAGGAGGCGGCTCATTGAAGACGCCTACGGTGAATCAGCGCCGCACCCAGCCTTCCTGGGAAAGCCGATGTGGCCAAACGCTTGGGGCCAAAGCTTGGCCAAGCCATTGGAACATGTGTGTCCCCCAACCGCGGTGGACTTCCCTGGAGAACACGTGGGGAAGGAAGAGAGAAAAGGATATCGAGGAGGAGGAATAGGAGGAGAAGGAGGAGGAGGAGGAGGAGGAGGAGGATGAGGAGGTGGAGGAGGAGCAGGAGGCGGAGGCCTCTTGAGACTGTCTGGGTGATCTTCCGTGTGGTCGACGTTTTTTCCCGCGTGGCCGGCGGGTTTAGCCAGAGGCCATGTTGAACATTTTGGAAGGGTTCAAACGGACATCGCTCGGCGCGCCAATCGCCCCTCTTGCAGGCAACGTGAGGCCGCAGATCGAAGATGCTTGCGGCGAATCACCGCTGCCCCTGCCTTTTTAAAAAGCGCCTCTGTGGCCAAACGCTCGGGGCGTTTGGGACGATTTTGGGGCGATCTTTGGGGCCTCTTGGGCCGTCTCGGGCCGTCGGAATACCACATACATTTGGCGATTTTTGGGCAATCTTGTGGGCCTTTTGGGCCGTTTTGGGCCATCCGAAGGCCGCTTCGAAGCAATTGCGAGCATCTTCCCAAACCTATGGGAACTCAATGGTTGTGGCCTCGTCGGGCCTTCGAGGAGGCCCTTTTGGTTGGTGGCTTGTTGGGCCGTCTTGGAGGCCTCTTGGGGCTCTCGGGTCGTCTTTGGCCATCTTGGAGTCATGTTGGGCCGTCTTGGGTGCACTTTGGGCCGTCTTGGAACATGTTTGGACCATCTTGGGTACTCTTTGGGCCATCTTGGCCGTCATGGTGGTGTCTCGGAGGTATTCTGGAGGCTATCTTGAGCCATCTCGGCCGTCTAGGAGGCGGTACATGTTCGGCTGCTTTCTGGGTGGCTGGCGCAGTGGACCGAATCCCCAGAGGAAGTGAAACAACGAACCAACAACCATCATACAACTAGCACGCCGGGCACCCGTTTGATACATCAGCAGGGGGCGGCGGATCTAGTGCTTGGGTCGTGCACAGGGGGCCTCTTGGGTGCCTCTTGGGGCCTCTCTGATGCTCCTCTGGGGTCTATTGGGGGCCTCTTGGCGACGTCTTGGGGATCTCTTGGGGGTCTCTTGAGGGCCTCTCTGGGGTCTATTGGGGGCCTCTTGGCGATATCTCGGGGGTCTCTTAGAGGTCTCTTGGGGCCTCTCGAGGGGCCTCTTGGAGGCCTGGGTGGCTTTCGGGATCCTGCTGGCAGACACGCCAATTCATGTTTTCCTTCTTGGGCCCCTCTTGGGGCATCTTGGGCCCCTTTGAGGGCTTTTCTTGGGGCTGTCTTGGGGTGCTTCTGGGCCATCTTAAGCGCTCTTAAGATCGGCACGGCGAGTATGCGACAACCATTATCACACACGGTCCATCTACACAGACTTACAGTTATTCACATGCACATGCGACACTGTTGACACACATACCGACATACACATACGCATACATGCATGTATCGTTTGCGTGCGTGCATATTGGTTTAGGCATGCGTGTAGACATGTGTGCGCACGCCTGTATGTATGTATGTATGCATGTCTGTAGATACACTCATCTACATGTACACATACATACCTGTATGGCATGTAGGTCGCTTCAATCTTTTTAGCCGCTTGGGTAAGCCCTCGCGGCCTCCACGCTGCCCAGCGCCCCCCAAAGAGCCCCAGGACGATCCCTTGGGGCCAGCTCAGAGCGTGCAGGACACGTGAGTGCTGAGTCACGCTCCCGAGGGCTCTGGACAGATAGCGCGGGGGAGACCAAGAGCGCCTCATAGTGCCCCATGAGGAGTGTGTCTAACATTCAATGCGCACGACTCGAAGGGACCTGACGGCACTCCACTTCGTGTCAACGGCACGGCGGCGGATGCATGGTTCAAGTGTTATCTGTTGCTTGGCTACTTGTGTTGTTTCGTCGGACGAGTTCCCCAGGATGTCAACATGATTTGTGATCCCCTAGTTCCCTACCCAGGCTCTGCCTAGAAGGGTTCTTACTCGGTTTGCTTAAAGGGCCGGGCAGTGGGGCTCGCCCCGGGCGGTTCCCCCAGGATCCGCCCCGCGGTTCCCCCAGTTACGCCCCCTGGGTTCACCCAGCTTAGCTTAGCTTAGCTTAACTTAGCTTATCTCATCTTAGCTTAGCTTAGCTTAACTGGGCTTGGCTTGGCTTGGCTTGGCTTAGCTTAGCAGCTTAGCCTAACTTAACTGAGCTTAGCTTAGCTTCGCTTATCTCATCTTAGCTTAGCTTAGCTTAGCTTAGCTGAGCTTGGGCTGAATTGGCTTAGCTTGGCTTAGCTTAGCTTAGCCTAGCCTAGCCTAGCTTAGCTTAAGTTAGCCCAGCTTAGCTTAGCTTAGCATAGCTTAGCTTACCTTAGCTCAGCTTAGCCCAGCGCAGCATAGCGCAGCGCAACATTAGCACAGCATAGCATAGCATAAGATAGCCAAACATTTCATAGCATAGCATAGCATAGCTCAGCATATCATAGCATAGCATCGCAACAGCAACACCAATGCGAACTTGTACATCTATATGTATATGTAGATGTATGTGCAGGTGTAGATTTGGATGTAGGTGTAGATGTAGGTGTAGATGTAGATGTAGGTGTATATGTAGGTGTATATGTAGATGTAGATGTGAGTCTCGCTGTTGATGCTGATGTAGATGTAGATGCAGGTGTAGATGTAAATGTGGCTGTCGGTGTGGATGTAGATGTTGCTTTCCTAAATGTTCCAACTCCTAGGTAGGGTCGCACTGGGATGATGTTTTTTCTTTTCGCAGGGATCCTTGGATCAACATCATTTTCGAATCGCTCTCGGAGGCCCTCGAGACGGCCCAGCGTCACCCAAACAGGTTTCCAAGGATACCCCAAATACCTCCCCTCGTGGCCCAAGATCAGCCCATTCGGCGGTGCACTTCTCGGCAAGGCGTCTGCTGTAGTGTTCTCCACAGCCAAGGTATCAGGCGTGCGTCTTACTCACAGGTGATGTCCTAAATTTGGAGTAAGGAAGGACAGGATGTCGGCTCGTGGCTCCGCCGCAATTGATTGGTGGAGTCTCCGTGGAACCTCCTTCGTTCGGCGGACAGTGCAGGCCAAGCGCCCACGGCTCGACGCCGACAGAAAAGGGAAACCAAAGAAGGGGCGAACCACAGGGGGCCATAGGAGGCGTAATCACCCACGACCCGACCAGTGGAAACAGGGCCAGTGGGGCAGGATGCCACAGGAAATCCTCGGGGAGGCCGTCGGAAGCCAGACTATCCCTTCCACTCCCCGTCCTCCACCTCATCCTTCCCGCTCCTTGTCTCCTTGCCCTCCTCGTCCTCCGCACTCCTCCTTCCTCGTCTTCCTCCAGCCTGAAATCGGCCTCGCGACCCTTGCTGAGGCGCGTCCTGGCTGGATTCTGTTCGAGGTTAACCCAGCAGTGGCGACGAACCCCTCCCCCAGAGGCCCCACTGTGCAGCAAACATCAGCAAGCGGAAGAGGACTAAATCTAGCTTTCCCAGGCTCGCGCTGGCAAGGACGTGGCGGTACCGTAATCCGTTGTGGCTGAGTCGACTCGATTCATTTTGCCCGCACATCACGCACACCCTGTGTACTCTTAGCCGTCAAGTTGTTCTCTTGCAGGCGCTGATGGGGTGCTCTCTGCTGTTTGTAGGCATGGCGGCTGTGGCGGCGGGGCAGCCGCCTCAGCTCCGCGGCGCCGTGACGGTGAAGGAGGGATGGGAGCCATGCCCTGGCCAGCCGGGGTGGGCCACAACCGCCTGCTCGGCCGGACAGACCTGCCCTGGCGGAAACACGTGCGCCAACCCGCCTCAGTGTGGCTGCTTCCGGACCTGCGCTGCGGGGCAGTCCTGCCCGCCGGGACAGTATTGCGACGGCGCCGGTGTTTGCACCCCTGGGGCCGCCCTGCGATCGAACCAGTCTTCGGAGGGGAGTGGCGCCAGCATCGTGACGGTGAAGGAGGGATGGGAGCCATGCCCTGGCCAGCCGGGGTGGGCCACCGCCGCCTGCTCGGCCGGACAGACCTGCCCTGGCGGGAACATGTGCGCGAACCCGCCTCAGTGTGGCTGCTTCCGGACCTGCGCTGCGGGGCAGTCCTGCCCGCCGGGACAGTACTGCGACGGCGTTGGTGTTTGCACGCCTGGGGCCGCCCTGCGATCGAACCAGTCTTCGGAGGGGAGTGGCGCCAGCATCGTGACGGTGAAGGAGGGGTGGGAGCCATGCCCTGGCCAGCCGGGGTGGGCCACCACCGCCTGCTCGGCCGGACAGACTTGCCCTGGCGGGAACATGTGCACCAACCCGCCTCAGTGTGGCTGCTTCCGGACCTGCGCTGCGGGGCAGTCCTGCCCGCCGGGGCAGTACTGCGACGGCGCTGGTGTTTGCGCACCTGGGGCCGCCCTGCGATCGAACCACTCTTTGGCGGAGGCTGCGGGCGTTGGCCTTCCGAACTCCAGCGGGGCGCCATTCCTGGGCGAGGCGCTGGGGGGGCAGTGCGCCTGGACGGAGCGCAAGAACAGCGGCGGCCGTAACCTGATGCAGGCCCCCTGGTCGCAGGACCCAGACGCGTGCTGTGCCCGCTGCAACGAGCACTCGGAGTGTGTGGCGTGGACATTTATCAAGGGGAGCCACGAGTGCTGGCTGAAGAGCTACGTGCCGCCCAGTGACCAATGGCGCTGGGACGATTCGGCAGTCAGCAGCCTCGTGCGTGGCCCAGACACCAAGTGCAGTTGGGAGGACGACGAGAACAGCGGCGGGGACAACATGATGCAGGCCCCTTGGTCCCAGGACCCTCAGGCGTGCTGCAACCACTGCGGCGCGCATTCGGGATGCGTGGCGTGGACTTTTATCAAAGGCAGCCACGAGTGCTGGCTGAAGAGCTACGTGCCGTCCAGGGACCAATGGCGCTGGGATGGCTCGGCAATCAGCGGCAAGCTGGGTGGGCGGTGAGCTTCTGCACGATGACCTCGTCATCGCAGGTTGCTGGGCCATCCCATGGTCTCACGAGGCCCTTCTTCAAATGGCTTGCGCCATTCCGCCGACCTCTGAATGATAAGGTGGTAGGAGGATGATGCGGAGGAGGATGATGAGGAAGAGAAGGGAAGGCGTGTTGTGGTCGGGGGAGTTGTGGAGAGTGGAGATGAGATGACAGGTGCAGCCGTTTTCTCCTCATCCTTCGTCCTTTGTCCTGGTGGTTTCTTGAAGGCTTCTTCGGGTGTTGCTCTTGGGGACCTCTTGGGTGCCTGTTGGGGGCCCCTTGGGGGCCTGATGGGGCCCATCGCGGGGGAAGCGGAGGGTCTCGGGGCCGTATTGGGCGCGATGATTTTGGAGAGCTCTAGTTGTCAAAGGTGGCGGGAATGGGGGTTGAAGTGGCGATCCCGTCAAATTCGGTATGCAGCTTGGTTCAGCTTCTCCTTGTTCGCAGCTTCGTTCTCATTTCCTTCTTCCTACCTCCGCCTCCCCCTCTTGCCTCTGAGTTTCACTCCTACCTCCTTTCCTACTCCACCTCGTCCTTCCTCTCCCCTCTGGAAAGCGTCGTTGAGGTTGTTCAAAGGCTTCTTTGCGACTTCTTGGGGCCCCGGGGCCCCCTTGCTTTCTCTTGCTGGGGCCGTTCGGGGGCGCGCTGACGGCCGGCGGGGGATGTCGTGGCCATCTTGGGCGTGATGGTGCCAGTGAGCTCTCCCGAAGAGGCTCGGTTGAAGCATCTTGGGGACATTTGGGCAGGTCCTTCGGGCCGTCTTGGAACCCTCAGGGGCCGTCCACGTGGGCTCTGGGGCGTCTTGGGCTGTCCTGGGGGGCCTCCTGGCCCTCGGAAGCTTTCCGGTGTCGAGCTGAAGCCTACAAGCCCTGGGCGGGGAAGCATGGTTTTTTACTTAACAGCGAAGATTGATAGGTTTCCAGTGGGGTCAAAAGAGAGCATCTTGACGCCCCAGGGGGGTCTGGGCATGATCCGGACAAAACCGGACAAAAAGGTCAGCCTCAGGAATCCTTACGAAATTTCAAGAATTCTTAGGAATCCTTAGGAGTCCATTCCCAGAACACCATTCCCAGGCCACATTTTGAATGCCCAGAACCAACTGCAGGCCACTTCGTGTTCTTCGTGTTCCCAGAACACCATTCCGGGCCACATTTTGAATGCCCGGAGCCAGCTGTAGGCCACCTCGTGTTCTTCGTGTTCCCAGGCCACATTTTGAATGCCCGGAGCCAGCTGTAGGCCACTTCGTGTTCTTCGTGTTCCCAGAACACCATTCCCAGGCCACATTTTGAATGCCCAGAGCAAACCGTAGACCACTTCGTGTTCATCGTGTTCCCAGAACACAAGTCCTGTACAATATTTTGATTGCCCGGAGCCAACTGTGGGCCACTTCGTGATCTTCGTGTTCCCAGAACACCAGTCCTGTGCTATATTTCGAATGCCCGAGCTGAGGCAGGCTGAGGCCGAGGCAGGCTGAGGCCGAGGCAGGCTGAAGCTGAGGCTGAGGCACGCCGAGGCAGGCTGAGGCTGAGGCTGAGGCTGATGCAGGCTGAGGCTGAGAGGCTGACGCTGAGGCTGAGGCAAGCTGAGGCTGAGGTTGAGGCCGAGGCAGGCTGAGTCTGAGGCTGAGGCTGAGGCAAGCCGAGGCAGGCTGAGGCTGAGGCAGGCTGAGGCAGGCTGAGGCTGAGGCTGAGGTTGTGGCTGAGGCTGAGGCTGAGGCAAGCTGCGGCTGAGGCAGGGCTGAGGCTGATGCAGGCTGAGGCTGAGGCAGGCTGAGGCTGAGGTTGAGGCTGAGGCCGAGGCAGGCTGAGGCTGAGGCCGAGGCAAGCCGAGGCAGGCTGAGGCTGAGGCTGAGGCTGATGCTGAGGCAGGCTGAGGCTGAGACAGGCTGAGGCTGAGGCAGGCTGAGGCTGAGGCAGGCTGAGGCTGAGGCCGAGGCAGGCTCAGGCCGAGACAGGCTGAGGCTGAGACTGAGGCTGAGGCTGAGGATGAGGCCGAGGCAGGCCGAAGCTGAGACAAGGTGAGGCTGAATGGGGGGGGGGGAGGGGGGGAGAGGGGGGGGGGGGAGGAGGGGAGGCTGAGGCAGGCTGAGGCCGAGGCAGGCTGAGGCCGAGGCAGGCTGAGGCTGAGGCTGAGGAAAACCGAGGCAGGCTGAGGCTGAGGCTGAGGCTGGGGCTGAGGCTGGCTGAGGCTGAGGCAGGCTGAGGCTGAGGTTGACGCAGGCTGAGGCCGAGGCGGGCTGAGGCTGAGGCTGAGGCAGGCTGAGGCTGAGGCAGAGGCAGGCTGAGTTTGAGGCTGAGGCAAGCCGAGGCAGGCTGAGGCTGAGGCTGAAACTGAGGCAGGCTGAGGCATCCGTAGGAATCCACAGGAATCCTTAGGAATCCCTAGGAATCCTTAGGTATCCGTAGGGATCCTTAGGAATCCGTAGGCATAGTTAAGCATCTTCAGGAATCCTTAGGATCCTTAGGACTCCCTCGGAATCCTTCGGAATCCGTAGGAATCCCCAGGAATCAGGATTCCTAAGGATTCCTAGGGTTTCCGAAGGATTCCTATGGATTCCTAAGGATCTCTAAGGATGCCTGAGGAATCCCTAGGAATCCTTAGGATTCCATTGGATCCTGAGCCCGTTGTCACTGCGTCTGTCATTGCGAATGCGACTGCGACTGCAAGAACATCAGAATTCTACAACTTGATTCTCACCCGAATCTTAAGGGGAATGCTTCCAGATATGCTTATACACATCGCTGTTAGGTTGCTTTGCCGGGATAATCCATAGGCGAAGAGCTGAGAGCCTCGCTGGAGGCCTCACTGGGTGTCTCCCAGGGTTACTTAAGAGCATCCGTGGGCAGTGCTGGGAGTCTTTTCGGCATCATTGTGGCCCATTCGAATTGTGTCGGGGGCTACGGAGCTCCTGGAAGCGTGTTCTGCAAACCCGAGGGCCTGGACGTTGCGTCGTAGGGCCCGGCAAGTGCGCCAGGGGGCCCTCCCCTCAAACGTGATTTTGGACCCCGAGGATGGGGAAAGGAGGGGAGACAGTCGAATGCCTCGTGCGCCTCCCCCCCAGGCAAGCGGGGTTTGGATACTCGGGCCCGCGAGTGCACGCATCGTTGTGCAATCTTACAGGTATGGCTTGCCGGCAGCCGCCTGGCCACGCACTGCCAGGTCGCAGGCTGGAGTTATCTATGCGTTTCATGCCTGCCAGGCGCCAACAGCGCGCGATCCTGGCGCAGTACAGTGCATGTGCTTGCAGACTGCCATGGCCTTCGGCCATGCGCTACAGAGGCAGGACATTCAGAAGGTAAGTGAATCCACCCGACGGGAAGAGGGGGGCGAGAAGCGGCGGGGGAGGGGGGGGGAATGGGCCTCCAGGGGTCTTTCAGGGATTGGTCTCCGTGACCTTCAGAGTCCCCCATCGGGGGCCTGCAGGGCCCTCCTGTGGGGACGTCGCGTGCCTCTGGGCAGCTCCTGTGGGTCCTCTCGCGGCGAGATTACCCGCGAACCAAGTGTTCGGCGAACTTATCGGAGACACTAACGGCGAACCACCGCCGCCCCCTGCCTTCTGCAAGCGCCTATGCGGCCAAACGCTGTGCCAACGTCTGGCCAAGCTGTACGTTCCCCCAAGTGTCGTGGGACCCTTCTTGGAGTTTCCCGGGCCGTCTTGGGGTCTTGGGTTGTTGGAAGCCCACGGGGGCGAGAACGTTCAAATCCTTCGAACACTGGAGGCGCATCAATTGGCTTGGCTTGTTCGGGCCCTCCTGCAAGACCACTTGGAGCTATTTCGTCTTGGGGTCAACTTGGGCCGTCTCGGAGGCATCTTTGGGCCATGTTGGCCTCTCTTTGGGCCATCTTGGCCGTCTTGCAGGCGTCGTGGGATCGTCTTCGATGTCATATTCGGGGCCATTTTGGGCGTCTTGGAAGCGGAAGGAAGCTCCTTAGTAGTTCTTTCGGAGTGGCCCCTGGGATCGACCGAAGGCCACTGTTAGAAGGGCCATAACGCGTTCGGTTCGCCAAGCGCATCTAGCCAAACAGGAGGAGGCGGCGCATGGAAGACGCCTACGGCGAATCAGCGCCGCACCCTGCCTTTCTGGGAAGGCCGATGTGGCCAAACGCTTGAGGCCAAAGCTTGGCCAAACCATTGGAACATGTGTGTCCCCCAGCCGTGGTGGACTTCCCTTGAGAACACGTGGGGAAGGGAGAGAGAACAGGATATTGAGGAGGAGGAATAGGAGGAGAAGGAGGATGATGATGATGATGATGATGAGGAGGAGGAGGAGGAGGACGAGGAGGAGAAGGCGGAGGCCTCTTGAGACTGTCTGGGTGGTCCTCCGTGTGGTCGACGTTTTTCCCGCGTAGCCCCGGCGGGTTTAGCCAGAGGCCATGTGGAACTTTTTGGGAGGGTTCAAATGGACGTCGCTCGGCGCGCCAATAGCCCCTCTTGCAGGCAACATGAGGCCGCGGATCGAAGATGATTGCGGCGAATCACCGCCGCCCCCTGCCTTTTTAAAAAGCGCCTCTGTGGCCAAACGCTCGGGGCCAAAAATTGGACAGACTATCGGACCAGGTGCTCCCCGAGCCGCTGTGGAAGCCCTTCGGGGAACGCGCGGGCGATGAAGGAGAGGATGAAGAAGGAGCATGAGGGGAAAGGAGGATGAGGAGAAGCATGAGGTCTCCTCTTGGGAGCTTCTTGGGTCGTTCTCGGGCCTTCGGGGAGCTTCCCGAGGGCCTCTTGGAGGCCTTTTGGGGGCCTCCTTTGGCCTCCTGGGGGCCTTTGGGGGCATCTTGGAAGCTTTTTTGGCCGTCTTACGGCGTTCCTGGCCCGTTTGACGCTGTCGGGTGTCGTCTTGGAAGCTTCTCTGGCTCTCTTGGGGCCCTCTTGGGGCGATCCAGGGCCGTCTTGACGGCCATCTTGGGCGTCTTTAACGCCTCGTGGGCTGTCTTGGGGTCCATTTGGGGCCGACTTGGGGGCCTGTTGGGTCGTCCTGGGGCCATCTTGGAGGCCTTTGGGGCGATGTTGGGGCGATCTTTGGGGCCTCTTGGGCAGTCTCGGGCCGTCGGAATGCCACATGCATTTGGCGATTTTTGGGCAATCTTTAGGGCCCCTTGGGCCGTTTTGGGCTATCGGAAGACCGCTTCGAAGCAATTGCGAGCATCTTCCCAAACCCATGGGAACTCAATGGTTGTGGCCTCGTCGGGCCTTCGAGGAGGCCCTTTTGGCGGCTTGTTGGGCCGTCTTGGGGGCCTCTTGGGACTCTCGGGTCGTCTTTGGCCATCTTGGAGTCATGTTGGGCCGTCTTGGCTGCACGTTGGGTTGCCTTGGAACATGTTTGGACAATCTTGGGTACTTTTTGGGCCATCTTGGCCGTCATGGTGGTGTCTTGGATGTATTCTGGAGGCTATCTTGAGCCATCTCGGCCGTCTTGGAGGCGGTACAGGTTCGGCTGCTTTCTGGGTGGTTGGCGCAGTGGACCGAATCCCCAGAGGAAGTTAAACAACGAACCAACAACCATCATACAACTAGCACGCCAGGCACCCGTTTGATACATCAGCAGGGGGCGGCGGATCCATTGCTTGGGTCGTGCACAGGGGGCCTCTTGGGTGCCTCTTGGGGCCTCTCTGATGCTCCTCTGGGGTCTATTGGGGGCCTCTTGGCGACGTCTTGGAGATCTTTTGGAGGTCTCTTGAGGGCCTCTCTGGGGTCCATTGGGGGCCTCTTGTCGATATCTTGGCGGCCTCTTAGAGGTCTCTTGGGGCCTCTCGAGGGGCCTCTTGGAGGCCTGGGTGGCTCTCGGGAGCCTGCTGGCAGACACGCCAATTCATGTTTTCCTTCTTGGGCCCCTCTTGGGGCATCTTGGGCCCCTGTGAGGGCTTTCGTGGGGCTGTCGTGGGGTGCTTTTGGGCCACCTTAAGCGCTTAAGATCGGCACGGCGAGTATGCGACAACCATTATCACACACGGTCCATCTACACAGACTTACAGTTATTCCCATGCACATGCAACACTGTGGGCACACATACCGACATACGCATACGCATACATGTATGTATCGGTTGCGTGCGTGCATATTGGTGTAGGCATGCGTGTAGACATGTGTGCGCATGCCTGCATGTCTGTAGATACACTCATCTGCGTGTACACATACCTACTTGTATGGCATATAGGTCGTTTCAATCTTTTTAGCCGCTCGGGTAAGCCCTCGCGGCCTCCACGCTGCCCAACGCCCCCCAAAGAGCCCCAGGACGATCCCCTGGGGCCAGCTTGGAGCGTGCTGGACCCGTGAGTGCCGAGCCACGCTCCCGAGGGCTCTGGACAGACAGCGCGGGGAAGACCAAGAACGCCTCACAGTGCCCCACGAGGAGTATGTCTAACATTCAATGCGCACGACTCGAAGGGACCTGACGGCACTCCACTCAGTGTCAACGGCACGGCGGCGGATACATGGCTTAAGTGTTATTTGGTTTTTGGCTATTTGTGTTGTTTCGTCGGACGATTTCCCCAGGATGCCAACATAATTTGTGATCCCCTAGTGTTTTTTCTTTTCACAGCGGTCCTTGGATCAACATCGTTTTCGAATCGCTCTCGGAGGCCCTCGAGACGGCCCAACGTCACAACAGGTTTCCAAGGATACCCCAAATACCTCCCCTCGTGGCCCAAGATCAGCCCATTCGGCGGTGCACTTGTCGGCAAGGCGTCTGCTGTAGTGTTCTCCACAGCCAAGGTATCAGGCGTGCGTCTTACTCACAGGTAATGTCCTAAATACGGAGTCAGGAAGGACAGGATGTCGGCTCGTGGCTCCGCCGCAATTGATTTGTGGAATCTCTGTGGAGCCTCTTTCGTTCGGCGGACAGTGCAGGCCAAGCGCCCACGGCTCGACCCCGACAGAAAGGGGAAACCAAAGGAGGGGCGAGCCACAGGGGGCCAATAGGAGGCGTAATCACCCACGACCCGACCTTTGGAGGCAGGGCCAGTGGGGCAGGATGTCACAGGAAATCCTGGGGGAGGCCGTCGGAAGCCAGAGTATCCCTTCCACTCCCCGTCCTCCTGCTCCGCCTCCACCTCCTCCTTCCCGCTCCTTGTCTCCTTGCCCTCCTCGTCCTCCGCGCTCCTCCTTCCTCGTCTTCCTCCAGCCTGAAATCGGCCTCGCGACCCTTGCTGAGGCGCGTCCTGGCTGGATTCTGTTCGAGGCTAGCCCAGCAGTGGCGACGAACCCCTCCCCCAGAGGCCCCAGTGTGCAGCAAACGTCAGCAAGCGGAAGAGGACGATATCTAGCTTTCCCAGGCGCGCGCTGGCAAGGACGTGGCGGTACCGTAATCCGTTGTGGCTGAGTCGACTCGATTCATTTTGCCCGCACATCACGCAGACCCTGTGTGCTCTTAGCCGTCAAGTTGTTCTCATGCAGGCGCTGATGGGGTGCTCTCTGCTGTTTGTGGGCATGGCGGCTGTGGCGGCGGGGCAGTCGCCTCAGCTCCGCGGTGCCGTGACGGTGACAGAAGGATGGGAGCCATGCCCTGGCCAGCCGGGGTGGGCCACCACCGCCTGTTCGGCTGGTCAGACGTGCCCTGGCGGGAGCATGTGCGCCAATCCGCCTCAGTGTGGCTGCTTCCGAACTTGCGCTGCGGGGCAGTCCTGCCCGCCAGGACAGTATTGCGACGGCGCCGGTGTCTGCACGCCCGGGGCCGCTTTGGGATCGAACCAGTCTTCGGAGGGGAGTGGCGCCAGCATCGTGACGGTGAAGGAGGGGTGGGAGCCATGCCCAGGCCAGCCGGGGTGGGCCACCACCGCCTGCTCGGCCGGTCAGACGTGCCCTGGCGGGAACACGTGCACCAACCCGCCTCAGTGTGGCTGCTTCCGGACTTGCGCTGCGGGGCAGTCCTGCCCGCCAGGACAGTATTGCGACGGCGCCGGTGTTTGCACGCCTGGGGCCGCCTTGGGATCGAACCACTCATCGGAGGGGAGTGGCGCCAGCATCGTGACGGTGAAAGAGGGGTGGGAGCCATGCCCAGGCCAGCCGGGGTGGGCCACCACCGCCTGCTCGGCCGGTCAGACCTGCCCTGGCGGGAACACGTGCACCAACCCGCCTCAGTGTGGCTGCTTCCGGACTTGCGCTGCGGGGCAGTCCTGCCCGCCAGGACAGTATTGCGACGGCGCCAGTGTTTGCACGCCCGGGGCCGCCTTGGGATCGAACCAGTCTTCGGAGGGGAGTGGCGCCAGCATCGTGACGGTGAAGGAGGGGTGGGAGCCATGCCCAGGCCAGCCGGGGTGGGCCACCACCGCCTGCTCGGCCGGTCAGACGTGCCCTGGCGGGAACACGTGCACCAACCCGCCTCAGTGTGGCTGCTTCCGGACTTGCGCTGCGGGGCAGTCCTGCCCGCCAGGACAGTATTGCGACGGCGCCGGTGTTTGCACGCCCGGGGCCGCCTTGGGATCGAACCACTCATCGGAGGGGAGTGGCGCCAGCATCGTGACGGTGAAGGAGGGGTGGGAGCCATGCCCTGGCCAGCCGGGGTGGGCCACCACCGCCTGCTCGGCCGGTCAGACGTGCCCTGGCGGGAACACGTGCACCAACCCGCCTCAGTGTGGCTGCTTCCGGCTTTGCGCTGCGGGGCAGTCCTGCCCGCCAGGACAGTATTGCGACGGCGCCGGTGTTTGCACGCCTGGGGCCGCCCTGCGATCGAACCAATCTGTGGCGGAGGCGGCGGGCGTTGGCCCTCCGAACGCCAACGGGGCGCCGTTCCTGGGCGGGGCGCCGGGGGGGCAGTGCGCCTGGGCGGAGCGCAAGAACAGCGGCGGCCGTAATCTGATGCAGGCCCCCTGGTCGCAGGACCCAGACGCGTGCTGCGCCCACTGCAACGAGCACTCGGATTGTGTGGCGTGGACATTCATCAAGGGGAGCCACGAGTGCTGGCTGAAGAGCCACGTGCCGCCCAGTGACCAGTGGCGCTGGGACGATTCGGCAGTCAGCAGCCTCGTGCGTAGCCCAGACACCAAGTGCAGTTGGGAGGACGACGAGAACAGCGGCGGGGACAACATGATGCAGGCCCCCTGGTCCCAGGACCCTCAGGCGTGCTGCAACCACTGCGGCGCGCACTCGGGGTGCGTGGCGTGGACCTTTATCAAGGGCAGCCACGAGTGTTGGCTGAAGAGCTACGTGCCGTCCAGGGACCAATGGCGCTGGGATGGCTCGGCAATCAGCGGCAAGCTGGGTGGGCGGTGAGCTTCTGCACGATGACCTCGTCATCGCAGGTTGCTGGGCCATCCCATGGTCTCATGAGGCCTTTCTTCAAGTGGCTTGCGCCATTCCGCCGACCTCGGAATGATAAGGTGGTAGGAGGATGATGCGGAGGAGGAGGATGAGGAAGAGACGGGGGACGGGCAGGAGGTGTGTTGTGGTCGGGGGGGTTGTGGAGAGTGGAGATGAGATGACAGGTACAGCCGTTTTCTCCTCATTCTTCGTCCTTCTTCCTGGTGTTTTCTTGAGGGCTTCTTCGGGTGTTGCTCTTGGAGACCTCTTGGGGGCCTGTTGGGGGCCTCTTGGGAGCCTGATGGGGTCCATCGCGGGGGCCGCGGATGGTTTCGGGGTCGTCTTGGGCGCGATGGTTCAGCAGAGCTCTCATTGCCAAAGAGGGCCGGAACGAGGTTGAATTTAATATCCAGTCCAGTTCGGTATGCTACTTGGTTCAGCCCCTCCTTGTTCGCAGCCTCGTTCTCATTTTCTTCCATCTACCTCCGCCTCGCCCTCTTCCCTGTGTGTTTTACTCCTACTTCCTTTTTCCTTTTCCACCACCTCGTCCCCCCTCTCCCCTGTGGAAAGCGTCGTGAAGGTTGTTTGAAAGCTTCTTTGCGACTTTTTGGGGCCCTCTTGCGGCACTCTTGCTTTCCCTTGTTGGGGCCGTTCGGGGGCGCGCTGACGGCCCGCGGGGTGTGTCGTGGCCATCTTGGGCGCGATGGTGCCAGTGAGCTCTCCCGAAGAGGCTCGGTTGAAGCATCTTGGGGACATTCGGGCAGGTCTTTCGGGCCGTCTTGGAACCCTCAGGGGCCGTCCACGTGGGCTCTGGGGCGTCTTGGGCTGTCTTGGGGGGCCTCTTGCGGCACTCGGCAGCTTTCCAGTGTCGAGCTGGAGCCTAAAAACCCTGGAGGGGGAAACGTTGATTTTCCATGGGCGAAGGGCTGATCGCCTCGCTGGAGGCCTCACTGGGCGTCTTCCAGAGCTACTCAAGAGCATCTGTGGGCAGTGTTGGGAGTCTTTTCGGCCGTTGTGGCCCATTATAACTGTGTCGGGGGCTACAAAGCTCCTGGAAGCGTGTTCTGCAAACCCGAGGGCCTGGACGATGCGTCGTCGGGCCCAGCAAATGCGCCAGGGAGCCCTCCTCTCCAACGGGGTTTTATACCCCGAGGATTGGGAAAGGGGGGTGGGAGACAGTCGAATGCCTCGTGCGCCTTCCCCCCCAGGCAAGCGGGGTTTGGATATTCGGGCACGCGGGTGCACGCAGCGCTGTGCAACCTTATAGGTATGGCTTGCCGGCAGCCGCCTGGCCACGCACTGCCAGGTCGCAGGCTGGAGTTATCTATGCGTTTCATGCCTGCCAGGCGCCAACAGCGCGCGATCCCGGCGCAGTACAGTGCGTGTGTTTGCAGACTGCCATGGCCTTCTGGCCATGCGCTACAGAGGCATGACATTCGAAAGGTAAGTGGGTGAACCCGACGGGAGGGGGGGGGGGCGAGAAGCGGCGGGGGAGGGGGAGGGGAGTGGGCCTCCCCCAGGAGTCTTTCAGGGATCGCAGTGGTCTCCATGACTCTCAGGGTCTCCCATCGGGGGCCTGCGGGGCCTTCCTGTGGGGACGTCGCAGGGCCTCTGGGCAGCTCCCGTGGGTCCGGTCCAGAACGGGTTCCCCCGCAGACTCAGTCAAGGCCCTCGCCCGGAGGGATTTGAAGGGGCCACCGCGCATCCAAGCACGCCTGCACGCACGCACACTGCACACCAGACACTTTTTTGGGAACGAAGGTGTCGTGTCTCAGATGTCGTTCCGCGGCCAGGGCTGGACACCGGGCAGGCCCAGGTAACTCCATCTACCCAACTCAGGGAACGCACATCTTTTGGAGGGCGAGAGCGACGCAACACAATCATGCACATCCGCGCACGCATACGCGCATGCGAAACACAGAGGTCGGCACGCGCAGCCGCTCGCTTTTCGACGGCATCGTTCACGAGCTCAGCGGACGAATGCGGCGCGGAGCTTCCCGTTCTTCTCAAGTCAGCCTGCCACAGCGAATCTTGCTAGTGCTTGTGATCGTCTTAGCGTTGCATCCGTTGTCATACTCCAGATTGTGCTCTCATTGCCATGTTGCCACCTCTTCTCAGTGAGCGTGTCAGATTGATGATAGCGGCTCGGCGCCGAGGCCATTTGGCATCTACTTGATTTCGAGAATCATGGGGGCCGATGCGCAGGCGCCTTCGCCTTCCCGCGTCAAGGCCTCGTGTCTGACAGGACAGTGCGTCCCCCCCCCGCTCTTGTCCTCGTCAGCTTCCTCCCTCGTCTTCGTCTTTGACCTCTCGCTCGTCATTTCCCTCGTCCTGCTCTTCAACCTCGTCGTTCCTTTTTCTTTTCCGGTTATCCTCGTCTTTTTCTCCTCCTTCCTCTTCCTCTTCTGCCTGGTTCTTCTCTCTACCTTCCTCATAATTGTCGTCCTCGTCCTCTTGTTCGTGTTCCCTTGGGTGATGCAGTTCTTCGCTTTGTCGCGCGTTTGTTCCGGCCCTGCCCTCTCCCCGTTTGTCGATGTCTTCTCAAGCCGAGCACGGTGTTGCCAACTGTTATAATTATGAGGTTGGAGCAACGAGCAAACCAGTGCCACTGCCAACTATGAAGAAGCAGTGCCTGAGGGCCGAGTCGGCCATCCGTAATCCATAGGTCAGCTTCTGATTCAGTGTGCATGAACTCTGTTTGTTCCAGCCGTTGAGGTATGCGTAAGCTTTAAGCGGCTAGCCTTTATCCATCGCCAGTTGGTGCTTAACAGTTCTAAATTGTGAGCGTGCTACTGTCACGCAGGTTAGGGCATCCAGCGGCCTGCGTGCGGCCGTGCTGCTTCCGTGCCCGGGTTCGAGCCAACGGCGTTGTGGGAACAGCTGGATCCATCGAAGCCTTCGCGACAGCGTCCCTGGATAGTGCTCCTTACCCATCGGCCTTTGAGAAACTAGGTATTTTTGGACTCTGGGATTCCAATCTACTTTAGCCGCCATCTTACTTCAAGAGTCGAGTGTTTTTTCCCTCTTCCCTTCTCTACAGGAGGCGGGCGGAAACCCAATCTACTTCAACGCCTTCCTGCTTCATGTCCTACCTACTTCTTCCGACCGATGGGTCAGAGGCTCCCAGGATGATTATCGGGGACGTTGCCGTGTCCTGACAAGTGGTCCGAGTGTGGCCCTCTTGCGCGCCTCTGGTGGGCGTGTCGAGAGCCAGGCCTGTCAGGTTGTTCCTTGGGCGGGAGCCTCGAGACGGGGGTCGGTGCAAACAGGGGGTCCGCCAGCGCGTTGGATCTTTCAGGATCCTGCAGAGCCAGGTTGCACCGACCCAGGCCTGCGCGCAGGACCCTGCACGATTCTGCGAGGCCTGACTGGCCCGGGCTTGCGCTGACCGGGACCAGTGCGTCCCCAACTTGGCTCAAGCTATTTTTTGTTCAGACCCTCTGACGAGCCGACGAGGCCGGCGAAAGCTCGCCAAAGAGCGCCTGCAAAACAGGCTATCACATACATCACAGGTTTGAGCTCGACAACTGTTGTATTGTAGGGTCTCTCGTGGCCTCCCCGAGGGCCTCTCGAGTCCTCCCCTCCTCCTCCTCCTCCTCCTCCTCCTCCTCCTCCTCCTCCTTCTCCTCCTTCTCTTCCTTCTCCTCCTCCTCCTCCTCCTCCTCCTCCTTCCCTTGGGCGTCTCCCCTGGCGCTGCCGGACACGGGCACCGGCGGGAGCCGCCGCTCTCGCCAGGGGGAGCGAGGCAGGCCGTGCGGCGACGCCGTCCGGCGCGCTCGCCAGCGAGCCGGGTGGCATCCCCTGGTCCGTCGACCTGGCATCGCTCGGACGCGTGCCCTTCTCAAAGGACGCGAAGATCGGGACAAAATCGGATCGGGATAACTCGAAATCTCTGAGGATCGGCGGGTTTGGAGGATGTAGTGGGCGCCGCGGCCGCTCCAGAGCGTTCCGGAACGCTCTGAGAGCGCTCTGGAACGCTCTGGAGCGATTTGTCCCGATCCTAGCCCTGTTTTAACTGTCGGGGAGCATCCTGCCGAGCGGCAGCGAGTTGATGGGGCGCATGCGCAGGCTCTTCCAGTACCTCTCCCTCTTCCATCTCCCCTCCTTCCCCTCCCATCGCCCCTGCACTCCCCACCGGACCCTCCCACTCCCGATTCCCCCGCCCCCGTCAGCTTGCGTCTCTGGCCACGCTGAACCTGTCGCAGATCAGCGAGTTCGCGCTCGTGATCTGCAGCCTGGTGCCGCCCCCTTGCGGCGGGTTGAGGCAGAGGGCGGTCTATTGGCCATCTGCATGTGTGTTTCTTCCTAACGGGGGCCTCTGCATCACTGGGGCCGAAAGGACATGAAAGAAATGGGCGAGGACGCTTGTCGAGCTACTCCAGACGACGAGGGAGGCGGCAACGACGACGATGACGGAACGGGGAGCCCAACGCCCCCGGTCCCCAGGGGAAAAAATATTGCCACATCCAGAACGAGACCCTGACAATCATCATTTGGACGTTCGCGCTGCTCGCCATCCAGGCCACCTTCATTATCGAAAACAATGCCAGGATCTACAGGTGCGCTCATTGCTGGAGATTTGTCCGCGTTCTCGTCGTCCACCTTGACCGGCCTGCCATTCTCATCCTCTTCGTCATGGAAGACACCTACGCCTACGGCGAGCCACCGCCGCCCCTTGCCTTCTGGAAGCGCCTGTGTGGCCAAGCGTTGGGACAAAGTCTGGCCAATATGCATTGGACTACGGTAGAAGGAAATAATTATTGGACACTCCCCCGCCCCCCCAAACTCAAAGTTGGCACGCGCGGGGAAGACTGCGGTCGAAGTGCAGCTCATTCAACCCACCGCCAACATGGATCATTGGGGAGGGCATTGACATATTAATGCGGCATGAAGTTCGCTAATTTCTTCCGAGGCCTGTATGTGTTCCCCCAGCCGCTGTGGATTCTGAGGGGGAACTTGATGAAGGAGAGCAACAGAGAGGAGAATGACAAGCTAGATGCGCTGGTGCCATACCTGACGTCCTACCCCTCCCACCAAACCCTTTTTCATGGCGCTGATTTTCCATCATGCCTGCGGACGCGTGTCATAGAGGAGGACGCGTGTCATAGTGGACCTGGAACTCCAAACACGACTCCATCGTGTTGTGCGCAATCGGACAAGAGCAGATGCGTACATAGGGGATGAGGGATGAGGAGGAGGAGGAGCAGGAGGAGGAGAAGGAGGAGGGAGGAAGAGTAGGATGACCAGGAGGAGAGGACGAGGAGACGGAGAAGGCGGATGAGGAAGAGGAGGGATGAGGACGAGGTGGGGGATGAGGAAGATGATGATGATATGATGATGATGATGATGATGATGATGATGATGATGATGATGATGATGATGATGATGATGATGATGATGATGATGATGATGATGATGATGATGATGATGATGATGATGCTGATGCTGATGCTGATGCTGATGCTGATGATGATGATGATGATGATGATGATGAGGAGGAGGAGGAGGATGAGGAGGAGGAGGAGGAGGAGGACGAGGAGGAGGAGGAGGAGGAGGAGGAGGAGAGGGAGGATAATATGGACGAGGAGGATGATCAGAGTAAGTCCAAGATGCATCAACGATGCCGCAAACAACCCTTCCGTCCCAAGCGTAGTGCTCAGCAGTCTTCAGTAGCCTACATTCTCACTACAAGGAGTACAGTCGGGGCCCGACCACAAGAAGCCTCCGCAAAAGACCCAACCCTGAGACCCCAGGACGTCCATCGGTTTGTGGTGTGGGAAGGTCAGGCTCTCCACAGCAAAACCGTCGGACCCCAAGAAACCCAGGGCACCCTGGAGGCATGCAGGGTGTTTCTTGGCATGGGCCTCCACGGTACCCGTCGACACACGAGCACGACACGGGACTGCCACTCAGGCGACAACCCCGTTTTTGAGAAGGTGTTGCCTTGCATCCTTTCACCACGTAAGTCAGGAGGGGAAAAAACACAGAGACACAATTAATCGGCGATTCCCAGAAAATATGGGAAAATCTGGGAAGTGGGGGGGAAGACAAAAACCCAGAAAATATAGGAAAATATGGGGAATATTTTTATTTGTGTGTATTTATTTGAGTGTCCCAGTTCCCCTTCAGTAAGGCTGGCTATGAGCGGGTATCGTCATGCAGCTCAAGAGGATGTCCAGCGAGATCCCCGTTGTGAAAAAGCACCGCCCAGGGCGAGCTATCCTGCACAGGCACTGGGTGGTGCACGATATGTAGTGCACAGTCGGGGCCCTGAAGAAGGAACCCTTTTCGTTGGGGAGGGGCTCGGTGTTCCTTGATTGTTGTGCAATTTGCCTTAGGTTCCCCTCAGGTTTTCCATAGGAAATCGAAGTTTAACTTTTGGAAAGAAGGGGCCTCGTTCCTTATTCAGGGTTCCTTAGGTCAACGCCCCGACTGTAAGTGACTTTGTGTGATAGGTTCGGCGTCACGGGGTGGTTTCTGGGCAAGCACCGTTTGGGGAATCGTGCTCTTGTAGTGCTGGCGCAGGGTCCTCGAATGGTGCAACCGTTCCGCTGTTCTGTGACTGAGGCGCGTGGGCCGGACGGACATCACACATATCTTGCACATGAGCCCCCGCGATGGGTGTGGACCTGCCTAAACGATGACGCGCGCACGCGTGGACGTGCGAGCTGACGCGTGCGTGGCTCTTTTCGAAGGGCAGAGCCAGTAAGGCAGAGTGGCTGCTGCCCCTGTGTAGGGGCCTACCGGGTACTCAGTTTCTGGCTTCCTCTCTCGTGCTCTTTCCCATACGTGAGGACGTCCGCCCGTTTCTGGCTACTGCACCTCGTTTGCATTACTCCAGAAGATGGATTGGGTTACAGTCGGGGCCCTGAAGAAGGAACCCTTTTCGTTGGGGAGGGGCTCCGCGTTCCTTAAGTGTTTCACAGCTTGCCTCAGGCTTTCCTTATGTTTTCGTTAGGAAATCGAAGGTTAACTTATGGAAAAGAGGGGCCTCGTTCCTTATTTAGGGTTCCTTAGGTCAAGGCCCCGGCTGTACAGCACCTCCTTTGCATTACTCCAGAAGTTGGATTGGTTTGAGAGCCGCTGCGTGACCGGCAGGTTCCTGGCGCGGCAGTGCCGGAGGTTGGTCGGCAGGGCTGCGCCGATGGATGATGGCGGCCAGCAGGAACTCTCACTACGATGTCTCCCTCTTTCTCACTTTTAATAAAATGCTTTTTGTCGATGGACATCGCTTGTGCTGGTTTCGCATGGGGAGGCATGGGGAACGTGAGCAGCAGAGATAGTGCCGTTCCCCCCCCCTTTGATTCGGCACCCATGCGGGTCATTCGGACACCCCTTCTGGCGCACTCGTCTTCCTCGTCGTCATCCTCCTCTGTCCTCTCCTTCTCCGGTCACTCTTTCCCCTCTTTTTCCTCTCCCTCCTCCTCCCAATGCCCTTTCGGAGGGAGAATCAGTGAAACACCTACGACAAACATTAGCCTGGCGAAGGACCCAACCATATGCAGTTGTGAGTACCGTCGTTGTATGCACCGCATTCGGAGGAGCTCCCTATGGTGCCACGAGTCAGGTGAGGGGTGTGCCGAAATAGGCGCGGTTGGCGCATGCGAGCGCAGCCACTGGGGCCGTCGGTGGAAGTCCCTATGGGGCCACGAAGCGCGTGAGAGGTGTGCTGAAATAGGTGCGGTGGGCGCAGGCGAACGCAGCCACTCGGGCCGTCGGTGGAGCTCCCTATGGGGCTGCGAAACGCGTGATGGTTGTGCCGAAATGGGTGCGGTGGGCGCATGCGAACGCAGCCACTGGGGCCGTCGGTGGAGCTCCCTATGGGGCTGCGAAGCGTGTGATGGGTGTGCCGAAGTGGGTGCGGTCTGCGCATGCGAACGCAGCCACTGGCGCCTTCGGTGGAGCTCTTTATGGGCCACGAAACTTGGGAGGGGTGTGCCGAAGTGGGTGTGGGAGACGCCTGCGGGCGGTTGCACTGGGGCCTTCGGTGGAGCTCCCTGTGGGGCCACGAAACTTGGGAGGGGTGTGCCGAAGTGGGTGTGGGTGACGCATGCGGGCGGTGGCACTGGGGCCTTCGGTGGAGCTCCCTATGGGGCCACGAAACGTGTGCGGGGTGTGCCGAAATCGGTATGAGTGACGCATGCGGGCGGTGGCACTCGGGCCTTCGGTGGAGCTCCCTATGGGGCCACGAAGCGTGTGAGGGGTGTGCCGAAATCGGTGTGGGTGACGCGTGCGGGCGGTGGCACTGGGGCCTTCGGTGAAGCTCCCTATGGGGCCATGAAACTTGGGAGGGGTGTGCCGAAGTGGGTGTGACTGACGTATGCGGGCGGTGGCACTGGGGCCTTCGGTGGAGCTCCTTATCAGACCGCGAAACGTGTGAGGGGTGTGCCGAAGCGGGTGTGGCATGCGGGCCGTGGCACTGGGGCCTTCGGTGGAGCTCCCTGTGGGGCCACGAAACTTGGGAGGGGTGTGCTGGAATGGGTGTGGGTGGCGCGTGCGGGCGGTGGCACTGGGGCCTTCGATGGAGCTCCCTATGGGGCCACGAAGCGTGTGAGGGGTATGCCGTAATTGGTGTGGGCGACGCATGCGGGCGGTGGCACTGGGGCCTTCGGTGGAGCTCCCCATGGGGCCACGAAACGTTTGAGGGGTGTTGCGAACGCAGCCACTGGCGCCTTCGGTGGAGCTCTTTATGGGCCACGAAACTTGGGAGGGGTGTGCCGAAGTGGGTGTGGGGGACGCGTTCGGGCGGTGGCACTGGGGCCGTCGGTGGAGTTCCCTATGAGTCCACGAAGCGTGTAAGGGGTGTGCCGAAATGGGTGCGGTCGGCGCATGCGAACGCAGCCACTTGGGCCTTCGGTGGAGCTCCCTATGGGGCCACGAAGCGTTGTATTGGGTGGGTGAAACGCAGGGAGGATGGAGGAGGGGGAGGAAGGAGGAGGGGGAGGAGGAGGGAGGAAGGAGGCGGGAGGAGAATGCGGGGACCGTCTTTTCAAAACGAGGACTTAACACCACAGGATGGTCTGGAACATATCCTGGGAGACTCTCCCCCCTCCCCTTTACCTCCTCCTCCTTCTTCCCCTTCGTCGGCGTCCTCCTTCCAATCAGAATTCCCTTCTTTGGAGGGGAAAGCAGTGAACCATCCAGGAAGACGCAAGCATACCAACACAAACAAACAAACAGCAATCCAGAGGAACTTGCTGTGTGTGGGGGGGGGAGCAGGAGGGGAAGGCGGAAGAGTCGCTCAGGATTCCCCCCCCTCAGGGCTTACGACGATCCGCCCTCCGAAAGCGAACTCTGATTGGGAGGGGGAGGAAGGGGGAGAAGGAGGAGGTAGAAGGCGAAGGGGACGGAGGGAGTCCCCCAGGATTTGTTCTTCACCCCCTAATGTTTTGCTGGGTGCCGTTCCATAGAGGGATTCTGGTTGGAAGCAGGAAGAGGAGGAGGATGAAGAGCGGGAGGAGGAGGAGGAGGAGGAGGAGGAGGAGGAGGAAGAGAAAGAAAAGAGAGAGAGGGAGGGGGCGGGGGGAGATGGACTAAGAGGAGGATGGGGATCCTCATTAAAGAACCTTTAGCAAGGAATCCTTACTACGGAGTACTTAGCAAGGGAGATCCAGCAGGGAATCCTTACTGAAGAATCCTTTGCAATGAATCC